ATCTCTGGATAGAGTTTTCACTTCGATACCAGGCGCCTAGCTAAAGCCTGGGCAAACATTTATTGAGTGTGGGCTGGGCCAGGTGTCCTGCCCGGGACAGGAGCATTGTGGATGAAAGTCCTGGTTACACTCGAGAAGTCCCAGCATGTGGAGAGGGATCCACAGGGTCACAGTTAGTGGTTATCTATGTGGGGCAATGGCAGGACGCTTTTATTTTCTTAGTTGTAATTTTTAAAGTTTTTCCCAATTTTCTGCCAGGAGAGAAGATTACATGGTGACAAAGATGACAATAATGTAGGGGCACCTGGGTGGCTCTGTCGGTTAAGCATCTGACTTCGGCTCAGGTCATGATCTCACAGTTCATGAGTGTGAGCCCCACTTTGGGCTCTGTCCTGACAGCTCAGAGTCCGGACTCTGTGTCTCCCTCTCTCTGCCCGTCCCCGGCTTGTGTGTGCACGCACTCTCTCTCCCTCTCTCAAAAAATAAATAAACACTAAAAAAAAGTAACAATATATAACAAAATATCTGGTGTGATACATGACACGATAGGGGTAAGAAAAGGGGTTTTTGGGGAAAAGGGGTGAAACTTCCCTTGTACCATAAATAAATAAATAAATAAAACAAAAGCTGCCGAGCCTAAGCCAAAGTACTTTGGGGACTAGATCATGTTCAAATATATTCCTACAGAGACCCTGTTCGGGAAGGTTCTGAAGCTACCAGGGAGAAGGTGACTAGGGAGAGTGTTGCAAATGCACAGGCCTTCCCGGGCTGAAACGTTTAAACGGAGCCCAGGGATCAGCCGTCTGACACGAGCGAGGCTTTGGGCTTCCCTGCTCACTCTGAGAAGGCAGCACTTGAAGCCGGAGACCCAGCCCTGCCTTCTCTTAGCAACTCCACGGGTGGCTCCCTGTCTTCTGCTCTCTGCCAACAGCCTGCGAGCAGAGTCCTTTAACTCGCGCCAGGGACAGGGTCCCCTGGACAACACCTGCAGCCACATCCCCAGAGGACGTCTCGGCCCCTGATGTCTGTTCCCACTGTCCTCCCTCTTTCCCCTCACTTGTTCTTCTAGAGACGGCAGAAGACGGTGATGGGGTTTAGAATCGGACTTTTATTTAGCTTTTTATTGTCAGATTTTAATTTAAATTCCAGTTAGTTAACATACAGCGCAATATTGGTTTCAGGAGTAGAATTTGGGGATTTATCACTTACGTACAACACCCAGTGCTCATCCCAACAAGTGCCCTCCTTAGTACCCATCCCCCACTCACCTCCCTCCAGCAACCCTATTTGTTCTCTGTCCCTAAGAGTCACTTGTAGTTTGTTTCTCTCTCTTTTTCCCCCTTCCCATATGCTCATGTGTTTTTTTTTTTAATTTTTTTTTCAACGTTTATTTATTTTTGGGACAGAGAGAGACAAAGCATGAACGGGGGACGGGCAGAGAGAGAGAGGGAGACACAGAATCGGAAACAGGCTCCAGGCTCTGAGCCATCAGCCCAGAGCCCGACGCGGGGCTCGAACTCACGGACCGCGTGATCGTGACCTGGCTGAAGTCGGACGCTCAACCGACTGCGCCACCCAGGCGCCCCAACTCATGTGTTTTTTTAAAGCTGGGCTTTTTAGACCGGACTGCTGTCTGCCTCCTCCTTCTGCTGCCTCCCATCCCCTAGTCTGTGAACCCCTAGTCACTCTATCTTCCCAACTTATTAATTTTGACTTGATTACTAACTAGGATTTCCATTATTGTGACTCAGTCACCGCTCTTACAAGGGAATCTGAGATATGGGGCAGCGTTTGGTTTGTCAGCATTGGGGGGTGAGGGGTTGTTGGGTCAGCGGCATGTACTGGGTGAGGGCACAGAATTCTACAAGCCCAACAAGTCCAAAAGTCAACAAGGCCTCCTGAGAAGCAGTTCACAGGAGGGTTACATTCCAAGACCCCGCAGTGGAGTCCTGATCCAGCAGACAGCCAGAACACGACAGGTTCTATGTTCGTTTCCCTTATGTACAGAACCGCGATAAAGGTGAATTTATAAATGAGGCGCAGTAAGAGATTGGCCACAACGAGTAATAATAAAATAGAACAATGATCACAATATGCTGTAATAAAAGTTATGTGGACATGATCTCTCTCTTAAACTATCTTGCAGGGCTGTACCCATCCCCCTTCTTCTTGTGATGATGTGACTCCTATGCCTAAGAGACAGGCATCTAAATATTTGGCGACGTTGGTGATCCTCCTGGGCCTGAAACCTGAGTCCTTGAGGTAGCCCTTTGTGATGAAGCTAGTATTCTAACATTCCATACCATGATGCGGAAATGGTCTTCCCTGGTGGCCCAGGCATTTCCACAGGGCTGTGTCCTACAGAGAACACGAGTCTTTTAAGTCTAGAGAAAAAGGTCACTGGGAAGCACCTCCTTTGTGCTTTTTCCCTTTAACAGACCTCCATCCACATCCCAGCACAGTGTTTACTGTGGTGCTTTATGCTTGGTTGTCTCTTTAGGTGCCTCCCCCGCTAGACTATGAGCTCCTGAGGACACAGGCTGTGCTTATTCATTGCAATATCCCGAATAAATGTTTAAGAACTCATTAATAATCAATCGCTACAGTGAATCCAGGCAATAGCCATAATAAAACTGCAAATAATAAAATTCGGGGCAGCCTATAAATAAAGTAGTATACAGAGTCGACTATTTCTTTCGTTAACAATAATAAGTGGCTATTAACCAGGCTTAGCCACGAACTAGGCATAGAATGGAAAATTAAAATTCCGTCTGTAGAAACAGTACACTTTATTGAAAATTGCTTTAGAATGTTAAGGAAGACTGACGCCCAAGTGACTCAGTCAGTTAAGTGTCTGACTTCAGCTCAGGTCATAATCTTGCAGCCTGTGAGTTCAAGCCCAGCATTGGGCTCTGTGCTGACAGCTCCAAATTCTCTCTCTCTCTCCCTCTCTCTCTGCCCCTCCACTGCTCATACTCTTTCTCTCTCTCTCTCTCTCTCTCGCCTCTCCTCTCAAAAAATAAATAAATAAATGAACATTTAAAAAAAATTGGGGCGCCTGGGTGACTCAGTTGGTTGAGCACTCGACTTCAGCTCAGGTCATGATCTCACGGTTTGTGGTTCGAGCCCCACGTCGGGCTCTGTGCTGACAGCTCGGAGCCTGGAGCCTGCTTCCGATTCTGTGTCTCCCTCTCTCTGGCTCTCCCCCGCTCACGCTCTGTCTCACTCTCTCTCTCAAAAATAAATAAACTTAAAAAAAAAAAGACTACAATGAGGTCTGTCTCAGAGGGATCAGCTTCCCCCGTGGCAGTGATAGAGTTTGGGGGTGATGGAGGGTTCGTGGGATCCAAGAAAGAATTCTTGAAAGCATCTTTGGTGCAAAAAGGTGATTTTATTAAAGCATGGGGACAGGACCCACAGGCAAAAAGACCTGCACGGGGGTCCTGACAGATAACTCATTATATACCCTCGGGTTGGGAGAGGGTCAGGGATAGAGTAAGTCTCTAAGGAATTTTGGAAGCAAGCTTTCCAGGACCTTGAGCGGCTAGCTGTTGCTAGGGAAACACCATTTATCGCCGTTTAATAAAACCTCAGTCATGAGACCCCTCAGATGCATATCAGGGGACCATAAGCTTGAAGCACGATTGCCGGCATAAATCCTGAGACAGCTGAGAAAAAGAAACTGGACTTACAGGGTCCTCGAGGTTGGGACAATGTTGAGCCATGGTTCTCTTTTGCCCCCAACAGAGTGTCATCATAGAGGCAGCTGAGCTCCTAGAGGGAGGTTTCAAGGACTTGTCAGTGGGCTGCAGGCAGGAAGGGAATTTAATTTTTCATTTGCCTTAGTTTCCCACATCACCATGGCAAGCACTTAAACCCCTTTCCTTTGTTCCTGGGTAGCCAGGAGTGTCTGAGGAATATCACATATTCCACCTGGCAAGTGGCGTGCCAACCTGTATTTTGCCCTCATCCTCCGTCACCAACAGCTCCACACACATTTGAACCACAGTACACAGCCACACATTTGGAAGGCCAACAATCATTTCATTACCTCCTCCTCCCTTCCCCCATCTTCCAACACACGCACTAATGGGAAGGGGCACTCCTGCCCTGGGCAATGTCACACACAGCCCGTCACCCAGTGTTGCTGGCCTTCCACTGATGCTTGCAACCCCTCCCAGACACCCTAATTCAACAGCACATCGTGTTCAGTTGTCAGAAGTCAACAAGCTTTTAACTTATTTTTTTAATGTCTATTTATTTTTGAGAGAGAAAAGAGAGAGACAGAGAGACAGAGCATGAGTAGGGGAGGGGCGGAAAGAGAGAGAGAGACAGAATCTGAAGCAGGTTCCAGGCTCTGAGCTGTCAGCACAGATCCCGATGTGGGGCTCGAACTCACGACCCGCAAGATCATGACCTGAACCGGGGTACGATGCTCAACCAACTGAGCCACCCAGGTGCCCCAGCAAGCTTTTTATTTTTAAACTTTAAAAACCCTCTTCTTTTAGCCTCTTCATATTTTGTAAAGAAATTTCCTGTAGCCATCAAAACAGAATCGCCCAGCTACTTATTTTCTATGGCATCTACCTTTTCAGATGGAAGACTCAACATCATTCATCCATTAAATGTATGAACTCGAGCTCCAAACTGAAGTCAGACTTCTCAATCTGGCTTCTTGTCCCTGCCCCGCATCAGCCATACACTTAGTCTAGGAGCCGTGGATACTTTCTGAAAAACTCTGACACTTGTACTAAATCACACTCCCCCAGCACTGTTTTGCCTGAGCTTGACCAAGTGAGATTTACTGTTCTTATCTCTCCCTTAACCTGTATCTCACTGGTGCCAATAAATTAAACAACCACCAAAAGGTGGGCTGGTAGAAGAAAACAGGAAGATGGGGTTCAAATGAAAGTAGTTGGTTCCTTGCCCCGCTAAAATGTTACTCTCTAATGTGTATAAACACCAAAGGCCTTTTGGCTCATTAACTGATGGCACCTTACCTGGCATCTTCCCTCAGAGAATCCACATTGCAAACAGTGATACCCATAGATCTATGTGAGATTCCTGTTGTCTCTCCTCAGTGGAAGGATTTCAACCTAAGTCGAGAGATAGCAGATCAGAAACTCATCTTCAATCAAGTGAACCTTCTAAAGCCAGTCTAGGCTGTGCCGGCTGAGTGAAATATTCTTACTGTTGCAGGAGAACACGCAGGGGAGTCCAGGAGAAGAGTCTGCCTCCTCTTTTTGTGTGAAATTAGAGCACAGACCTCTAACTCTGGTGCAGAGAATGCAGAATGCCGCGGAACTCCCAGAAGGAGTTTGTTTGCAGAGAAAAATACACTTCCTTTGGCCCAGGGGTGAGGGAGGGTTCTCTTTACAGAACTCGAAATGTACAGGCTAATGGCACTGGGTATACAGAGGACAATCACTCAGTGCTATTGGCTAGCAAATAGCTTGAGAAGCAGTCTGAATGCTCCCAGAATTGGTGATTTTCTAACCCCTTTCATCCTGTCTTCAGTTTGGCATTTGAAGCATCCCCCTCAGGAACTCTGTTGGAAAGAATTGCATCATTGTGGATTCTTTTAGATCCTTAAGAAGCCTTATAATTTCCTTGACTTCAAAGGCTTGGGGTCAGTCCACCTCAGATGAGGAATGTGAATGTTAAGAGTCTTGTCTTTTAAAATTGAAAAACTTTCGCCTTCACACTGGGTTGACAGTCACTGAGCTCAGGAGAACTGAATCCCCTTCCCCTGCTTCCAGCTGATGTCCTGGCCACCCAGGTAACAAGAAGGTTCCAGAAAGTACCGGGCAGGGCCCACTTCTCTTTCCACAAGTCTTAACCTATTGTCTCTAATTTTTAGATGTCTTGGGCAAGGTGACCAATGCCTCTTATACTGCATTCTATCTTTGTGACCTTTCTTGCATAGGGATCAGGTAATGGGTGAGAGGGGATTAAAAGTCATCAAAATGGGCTGAATTGATTGACACTAGAAATGACAGGTAATCATTGACCAGTGAATATAGATGACACACAGAGACGAGATGGGAGAGGGGAAAAAGAACCATTGGGACAGGATTGGAAAGAGCTTGGGGGGAGATGAGGGTGAACACAGATGATGGAGGAAAGGATTATTGGGGTAGCTGTCATGTTCATGAGTTGCTGAGAAGCAAGTGACAGAGATTTTTTTTTTTAACTTTTTTAATGTTTATTTATTTTTGAGAGAGAGAGACAGAGTGTGAGCGGTGGAGGGACAGAGAAAGAGACAGAGACAGAGACTCCAGAGCAGACTTCAGGCTCTGAGCTGTCAGCACAGAAACTGACAAAGGGTTTGAACCCATGAACCATGAGATCATGACCTGAGCCTAAATTGGACACTTAACCAACTAAGCCACCCAGGCGCCCCAAGAGATTTAAAAAATTTTTTTGAACATTTATTTATTTTTGAAACACAGAGACAGAAAGTGGGCAAGGTTGGGGGGGAGGGAGAGAGACACAGAATCCAAAGCAGGCTCCAGGGTCTGAGTTGTCAGCACAGAGCCTGATGTAGGCCTTGAACCCACGAATTGTGAGATCATGACCTGAGCCAAAGTAGGAAGCTTAGCCGACTGAGCCACCTAGGCACCCCTGCCCTGAGAGATTTCAGTAAGCTTGCTTCGTATTTAAGAATGGCTTGGAATTATTCATAACATTGAACTTGCTTTTCTTTTTTTCTGTTTATTTTTTTTTAATGTTTATTTTTGAGAGACAGAGAACAGAGCATGAGAGATGGTAGGGGCAGAGAGAGAAGGAGATACAGAATCCAAAGCAGGCTCCAGGCTCTGAGCTATCAGCACAGAGCCTGACATGGGGCTCGAGTTCATGAACTGTGAGATCATGACCTGAGCCAAAGTTAAACTCTTAACCAACTGAGCCACCCAGACACCCCTAAATTTGTTTTTTATGTTTATTTACTTTTGAGAGAGAGACAAAGCGTGACTGGGGGAGGGGCAGAGAGAGACTGAGACACAGAATCCAAAACAGGCTCCAGCCTCTGAGCTGACAGCACAGAGACCGATGCAGGGCTCCAACTCAGGAGCCATAAGATCATGACCTGAGCCAAAGTTGGATGCTTAACCAACTGAGCCACCCAGGTGCCCCTCTTTTTTTTTTTTTTTAATGTTTATTTATTTATTTTTGAGAGAGAGAGAGAGTGAAGGAGAGGCAAAGAGAGAGGAAGACAGAATCCCAAGCAGGCTCCATAGTGTCAGCGCAGAGCCGGATGCAGGATTCGAATTCATGAACCCATGAGATCATGACCTGAACTGAAATCAAGAGTTAGAGGCTTAACTGACTGAGCCACCCAGGTGCCCAGAAATTGCTTTTCAAATACTGTTGGATATCAAGGGGCGCTCCTGAGAATGCCATGCTGCGCTGAGCCCCTGGGCCACCAGGGAGCTCAACTTAGGAGTTAAGGGGGCTGTCACACTTTTGTCCAAGTCTACTCTGCCCTGTTGCAAATGCCTTCAAATGCATCGTGTTGTTTTATTTACCACAACATTGGCGAATAAGAGGCTCCTCCTCAAAATTTATTTCTATAGAGTCTGAGTGTTAGGCAGGAAATCTAATCCTGTATCAAAGACCGATTTTTTTTAATGAAGGAGAAATCTTCTTTGATTTCCAAGGGTTTTATTGATTAATTTTAGGACTTGGGTATGAACTTTATTTATTTATTTCTTTATATAAAAAGCTCTATTCAGGGGCGCCTGGGTGGCTCAGTTGGTTAAGCGGCCGACTTCAGCTCAGGTCATGATCTCGCGGATCTCGCGGTCCGTGGGTTCGTGCCTTGTCTGTGCTGACAGCTCAGAGCCTGGAGCCTGTTTCAGATTCTGTGTCTCCCTCGCTCTCTGACCTTCCCCCATTCATGCTCTGTCTCTCTCTGTCTCAAAAATGAATAAACATTAAAAAAAATTAAAAAAAATAAAAAGCTCTATTCAAATCTCAAAACTTTCAAGTTATTAACCCATTCTCTTTTTTTATAACAGCTTTATAGAGATACAATTTATTTACCATATAATTCACCCATTTAAGTGCACAGTGAAATAGTTTTTAGTATATTCATAGAGTTGTACAAACATCACCACAATCAACTTTGTTTTGTATCACTCCAGAAAGAAACTTGTACCCTTTAGCTATCACTCCAAACTCATTGCACTGACCTACAAGCAACCACAATCTACTTTTTGTCTCTTATAGATTTACGTATTCTAGACATTTCATATAAATAGAATCATCATTTGTGGTTCTTGTCACTCACATCTCTCACTTTGCATAATGTTTCATGTTGTGGCATCATTAATTGTTATGAAGCTTTCTTGGCCAAATAATATTCCATTGAATGAACATACCACATCTTATCTATTCGTTTGTCAACTGATGGATATTTGGGTTGTTTTCACTTTTGGTTATTTCAGCTATTATGGGTAATGATGCTATGAATAGTCATGTATGTGTTTTTATGTAGATATATATTTCATTTCTCATGGGTGTATATCTAGAACTGGAATTACATGGTCATATGGTATCATTAGGTTTAACTTTTTGAAAGCTTGTCCTAAAGTTTTCCAAAGTGCCTGCATCATTTCACATTCCTACCAGCAGTGTATGAGAGTTCCAATTTCTCCACATCCTCACCAACACTTGTTTTTACCTGACTATTTGGTTATAGCCACCCTTGTTAGTATGAAGGCCTATCTCATTGTGATTTTGATTTGTATCTCCAGGATAACCAATGGTGTCAAGCATCTTTTCATGTGCTATTGGACATTTGTATGTTTTCTTTGGAAAAGTGTCTATACAAATTCTTTGCCCATCTTTTAATTGGGACATTTGCTTTCTTATCTTGAGTTATAAGAGGTTTTTTATTTACATATCATAGATATATTTATATATTACATATTTAGATGTTGTATATATAGATTTAGACATTTAGATTTATGATTTGCAAAATTTTTTCTCATTTTATAGATTTTCTTTTCAGTTTCTTGATAGCATTCTTTGGAGCACAAGAGTTTATAATTTTGATGAAGTTCAATGTGTCTATTTTTTCCTTGTTTGCTTGTGTTTTTGATCTATCTAAGAAACTATTGCTGGGGCGCCTGGGTGGCGCAGTCGGTTAAGCGTCCGACTTCAGCCAGGTCACGATCTCGCGGTCCGTGAGTTCGAGCCCCGCGTCAGGCTCTGGGCTGATGGCTCAGAGCCTGGAGCCTGCTTCCGATTCTGTGAATCCCTCTCTCTCTGCCCCTCCCCCCTTCATGCTCTGTCTCTCTCTGTCCCAAAAATAAATAAACGTTGAAAAAAAAAATTAAAACAAAAAAAAAAAGAAACTATTGCCAAATCCAAGATTATGAAGATTTACCTCTGTTTTCTTCTACAAGTTTTATAGGATTAGTTCTTACATTTAGGTTGATCTATCATGAATTAATGTTATATGTGGCATGAGGCCATCTTCATTTTTTGGCCTGGGGATATCCAATTTTCCCAGCACCATGTGTTGAAGACTATTCTTTCCTCATTAAATGGTCTTGACACCCTTGTTGAAAATCGACTGACCATAGATGCATGGGTTTATTTCTGGACTCTCAGTTCTATTTCATTGATCTACATGCCTATAATTATGCCATGCCCTTGGTTACCATTAGTTTGTAATAATTTTGACATTAAAAAGTGTGTATTCTCCTACTTTGTTCTTTGCAGAACTATTTTGGCTATTCTGGGTCCCTTGCAATTCCATATTAAGTTTTAGAATCAGCTTGTCTGTTTCTACCAAGAAACCAGTTGGAACACTGATAGGGATTGCATTGAATCTGTAGATCAATTTGCGGCCTTAATAATATCCCAGTCCATGAAAATGAACTATCTTTCAAATTACTGAGGTCATCTTTCATTTATTTCAACAATGTCTTACAGTTTCCAGAACATAAGCTTTGCACTTTTTGTTAAATTTATGTCTAAGTGTTTTATTCTTTTGTAAATATAATTGCTTTTATTTTATTTCATTTTCAGATTGTTCACTGCAAACATACAAGAATACAATTAATATTTACATATTAATCTTATATTCTGATACATTGCTGATCTCATTTGTTACTTCTAATTGTTTTTTAGTGGATTCCTTGAAGTCTTCTATGTACAAGAGCAGGTTGTCTGTGAATAGAGATAGTTTAATTCTTCTTTTCCAGTCTGAATGACTTTTTTCCATTTTCTTGCCAAATTGTCATGACTAGAACCTCCAGTACACTGTCAAATAGAAATGGTGTGAATGGATACCCTTGACATTTTTTCCTAGGGAAAACACGTCCAGTCTTTCATCATTAAATATGATGTGGATTTTCTATAGATGACTTTTATTGGGTTGAGGAAG